CCCATTCGACTTGTTCTAGAGCCGACCCTGACCGCTTGTCTGATTTTCTGAATTTTGTCATTGAAGAAGGAGGCAAATTCATTGCAGGCCCTGGTGGATAGAAATTCAGAGGCTACTGACACTGGGGGTTAGTTAGTCTGTCGACGCCACGCATAGCAAACAAGGCAAACAAGGCATTTTTTTTGGTAATGATGTCAGAGAAGAAAGACTGTCGTGCATTTTTCAATTCCAAATTATAAAGGCCAAGTCTCTCTTTAAAAATGTCATTATGAACCTGGAGATTTGTTTTTCACCACCTACGTTCAGCTTTTCGACACTCTTTTTTCTGTTTTCACGGTCATGGCCTTTCTCCATGGAGATAATTTCTTGCCAGTCACTTCCTTTACCTTAGTTGGAGCAATGGCATCTATAACATTTAATATTTTTGAATTAAAATGATCTACTAGCTCATTTACTGAGATGTTAGCAGGGGAAAGTGTGGAAGAAAAAGTCTGAGTAAACATTTCCCTAGTATTTTCAGTTAAATATCGCTTTGTGGTTACCTCTTTTTGAACATTTTTGTGAACAGAAATAGAGCTCTCAAAGAAAACACAGGAATGATAAGAGAGTGCAACATCAGTCACCACAACCTCAGAGATATTCAGACCCTTTGATATAACTAAGTCCAGAGTGTGCCCCTTGTTGTGCTTGGGCTCCGTCACATGCTGAGTCAGTGCATAGCTATCAAGAACACAAACAGTTCTTTAGCCCCTCTGTCCTGGGGGTTGTCAACATGGATTATAAAATCATCAACAATGACTAGACGGTCAAAGTCAATACACACTAGACAGCAGTTCAGTAAAGTCATCAAAAAAGCTTGCACAGTATTTGGGTGGTCTATAGATATTTAGGAACAGAGCTCGAGAGGAGCATTTCAGCTGAAGGGCCACAGATTCAAAAGAAGCAAAGTTCTCATAAGATGTCTTCCTGCATTGAAGGGAGTCATTCAAAAGTAATATCAACTCCACCTCCCTTCTTATGCATTCTTTCCTGACTCATAAAACTAAAGTTGGGAGGGGTTGATTCGATAAGAACAGCTGCACTGTTATTTTGTTCAATCCAAGTTTCCGTTAAAAACATAAAATCGAGATTGTGCTCAGTGATAAAATCATTGATTAAAAATGTAAAAGCAATACTGTTTATAATAAATACAAAAAAGAATAATAAGGACATAAGGGGATAATAAAAGGGTGTTCAGTTTTACTGTCACTTTTAGCTTTATTCATTATAGTATACAAATGTTTGCTGATTCATTCTCAGTCCACTTAGAGTTTTGGTATTGCTTATTTCCCCCCAAATGTAGTCTTCAGCAGCAACTTGCTTCATAAGACTGAACTTGTCATAATGTTCACTTGTAATATTTTGAGGTCAAGTGCTACATCTGCACAATATATCAAAAATATTTCTATGAGCCTTTCGCGTAACTTTCATCTAAGAAATATGTTACACATTATTTCATGGAATCTCTATGCTAGCAAAATATGTTTAAATGATAAGGCAGTAGCTGTGAACATTGAAATCTGGAACGATATCTTCACTATTTTTAGCCTTTTCTTTAAACAGACCAGTGAAAGAATGCCTGGTATGTCAAATACATTGTGTATTAAAGGCTAACATGGGCAGGTCTGGCAGCTGGTTTGGCGACTTACAACAGGAGCCACAGGTCTGGTTACAGATAACATCATCTGATGTCAACTGATCCAGTAAATGTAATCAACACTGATTGGATTTAACAAGCAAACTAGATTTACATTTAAGCCTGAATATTTTCAGTTAACATCAACATGACCGATGTACTGTAAACTAACCTCAGAAGAAAACCAGAGAGTTATTACCTAGTCAGTGGCAGGCTTTAATTTGTTGTAACCTTTCTGATGACTGAGTTTGGAGTCAGCTGTTACTTTTTAAATATTGCATTAAGGTGCCTTAGATATATATTTGTATTTATTTTGCATACCAGGCTTATCCCTGTAAAATGGGCAATCATTAGACTTTCATCAGGGTAATCTACCAATACATAGGCGAAACATTAAAGGGGCCCTATTATGCTCATTTTCAGGTTCATATTTGTATTTTGTGCCTTTTCTGTGACGTTGACCTGTCAAAAAGGTCTTTATTTTTCTCATACTGCCTGTGTTGCAGCACCTCTTTTTAAACCTCTGTCTGAAACCAGACTGCACTGATTGGTTAGCTGTCCAGCTCTGTTGTGATTTGTTAACCGCATAGAGTTGTCCCGCCCCTTTGCCTATCAAACAATGTGTTGGAGCACTAGCCAAGTGAGTGTTACATACTACATAGTGATGTCAATATACAATCTCACATTTGATCAACTATACTCTCTTTGCCACGGATAAGCCAAAATACTTGAGTACAAGGAGGTCAATAACATCTAAAACAAAGTACGGTTTGTGATAAATGTTAAAGAGGTTGATATGACTTGTATTTCAACAAGACATACCAAAACAGTTCAACTCCAGGATTGATTGTGAATCCCTCCACTCTTTTTAGTCAATACATAAATCAGATTCCCTCTCACCTAAGGTATTTAAAAACATAGCTGGTGTTTTGTTGGGGCTCGTATCTTTGAATAAAACTTGTACACAGTACACGCTGATGGGCACATATTTACATTCCACTCCATTTGATTTGTGGTAAATATGACATTTGATATTTTGATTCCAACAAAGGTTTATAAAAAGGAAAATTATAAATCTTTCAAAAGAATAACCATGCTTTTCAAGTGAAAATGTTTTTATTCTATTTTCCAAATCAGCCATGATGGTGTATTGATTTCATGCGATTTAACTATAGGTCAACTGATATGCAGCACAGAAACATACTTGAACTAACAGTCTTAAAGTTACATATGACATCTTTGAAAACAGGTACATTTTTTGAAGAAAAAAGCAGATACAGAAAATATGTACACAAATACATGTATAAAAACAGATTTGGATGGAGCAGTAGGAGTGCGTGTACAATTACACAATGCATGTTCCCGGTTTGATTCCTGGACAAAACTCTCTTCTCCACCATTTCCTATCATCTATTAAAAGAAAAGGCACAAAATGCCCAAAATAATTAAAGAAAAATTACACTATATGCTGCAATATATATATATATATATATATTCTAAAAAAGTGCAAAGTATTCATAATACATTTGGCCTCTAACCCCAGATTGCATAACATCAGGATGTTAGATTTCCTTCGTTCCTTTCGTGTGCAGTAAAAAATGCGGAGGACATTTATGACATTTCAATAACTGGCAAAATTTAGTGAGCGAAGTAGTGTTAGTTAACTTATAATACAAACTTTGTTTTCCCTCTTACAGTGATAGACTGCTGAAGACCACACGCTCAGCCACTGACGCTTAGTCCTTGTTTATCACTGACTTTGCACTTAATATATTATTGCCTTCATTTAAATATAGAAGCAGATAGCAGTGAGAGGCAGTGATCCGTTTAGGAGGAGATTAAAACTTTGTTGAAAGGACCGCGATATGATAGCAGTCGTCCTCAGAGTTGAGAGGTCAAAGGTTGGTGCTGGTGGAGTTCAGGATGTTGTGCTGGACCTTGGCGTCAGAGGCCTTTGACAAGTCTCGCTGTGGAGACAGAAAACAGCCGTTCAGTTTGAATCTTCGTCTGTAATGTGGCGATACGAGAAAATGACAACACTTAAAAGCAGATATGCCATCAAACAAACAGCCGCTTGACATTTTAATTAATAATAAATGGCACACTGTGCATCCTGTTAGAGTGAAAAAGACGCATAACACAGACAGACTCAGATGGTTTTTTAAATTCTGACACAGAATGAGCTCTCCACTGCAGAAATTCACGCTACAAAAGGAGCCTATCATCAGGTTCTTCGCCTCAATCTATTGTGTGAATCATTGTTATTCCATTTAGGTGTCCATTGTGTTGAATACATAATGTTGGCTTTTACTTTAAATTGCTGCTTTAGTTAATGCAGTCGAAGAGCAAAAGTAAAAGTAACAAAATGCATTGCTCTGGTATATGGAACAGGTCATGATGCTTCATTTTGTTGTTCAAAAGATCTTCTATAAAGGCCAATACAGTACCTGATACTCTTCATATGCCTGGGAGAGGGACAAGGGACTAACACTGTGCACAGGAGTGGGAGAGGATCTGTGGAAACTAAGTTAATGTCAAGGGATTTTAGATAGATATTAGGCATATCCAATTGGTTCTCAATTGATTGACTGGGAAACTCAACTTCACAGACTAGTGCTGTGTCCCAATGTACATACTTCTGCACTTACATTTGCTATTTTGAGTGCACAAGTGCATCCCAATGCAACAATCAACAATGCATGGCATTATTACCGGTTGAATGTTACCAAATACTAAATCAGTTTACACTCTTCATAACATAATCAACTGATCCTAGTCCACAGTGTTTGGGGCAAATGTATCCTACTCAACACTCACACACATTCACCATCCTGTCTCTCTGTTGCTTTTCCTGCATGACGTTACCTAGTGCTTAAAACAAGAATGGCTCTGGATCAGTCAGTAAAAGTTGACGCTCTGGAGAGGCTTTAGTTCAGTCTGAAGTCACTGTCACTATCCAACAGAGGAACATGAGACGGATGGTTAATATAGGCAGCAGATATAGAAAGTGGTTTAGAAACACAGAAAGATATAGCAGCAGGGATCTGTCAGAGCTGTGAAGGCTGTGTGTGGGAGTGAGAGTGTTTGTGGGTAAAGACTGACAGACCAACATTAGCCCTGTGTGAAAAAAATGCAACCCTTAAAAAAGAGAAGCCCCTTAAATTGATCAATCTGTTACTTAAACTGGATCTCTTGGTTCAATATTCAGCGCTCACGATACCTGAAGAAATAAATCGTCCTTTCCAAAGCAGCATGTTTTTTTACACAGGGCCTATTTTGGTCTAAATGACTAAATCGGAACTGTGCATGCCGAAAGCCAAAGTAGCAAGTACATTTAAAGATAGGGTAGGTAAGAATGGAGAAACCAGATTGAGTGCGCTAGAATTTGAAAATACACAGCTGGAAAAAATCTGCCACTTCCTTACAGAGCCCCTCCTCCAACACACACGAACGCGCACATGACCAATGAGGGCACGAGATAAGTTTGTGCACAGATGGAAGGCTGACAGGCAGGTAGGCCATCCAGTTACTTTAGCCGGGCCGGCTAAAATGATTGGTCGTGCTTTTTACAGTACTACGGCTTCCACAGATGACATTTTTTTATGGATTTATTGTCAAAGCATTTAATGTATTCATTGCTATCGGGATGTTAAGAGCATTCCATGGAATATAAGTGAATTACCTACCCTACCTTTAAAAGTAATTTCTCTTTAATTAAAGCCATGCAATCACGCCATAATGAACGAGTTAGTCAGGATTACACACGGTTTTAGGATTCCAAACACACCTTAACTGAACAGGTTCAGAGTTGAAGTCCTTCTATAATTAAATGTACATCATTAACATTTTCCCAATCTTCTTAAAGAGGTGTTGTTGCACAGAAATTAGGAAAAAAAGAGGCAGAGGAAATAGATTAGAGACAAAAGGGTAAATTACCACAAACTCTGAATATGTGCTGGCAACAGAGGCTATGCTGAAGTTAGGCTGTGGACTAGCATGGGTCAGCAACGCACCGCTCAGAGGGCTCCCCTTCAGCTGCGCCTCGTTCTCCTTGTTACAGCCCTGCAGGCGGGGGTTGGGGGGTTTACCAACGCCTGGCGTCCGCACTAATGGAGTCTGGGGGACGCGCGGCAGGAGAGAATCACATCAGACAAGCAACTAACATCTTTAAAAAGGGAAACTTTACCCATAAAATGATTATTTGTAAATGGATCACTAACGCCATGTTACCTTGAAACATTAAATAATATTTTGTTTTCCCAATAGGCAACAAAGATATAAAAAAGCAGCCCCCCATTTCCTCGAATTCATCAAGACTCTCGATTTCAGGATTTTTGAGGAGGCATACGGGAGCAACAACATTTTGTACTTAAATTCTACGTGACAAAAAAGGAGTAAATGATATGCATTGATCCTTTTGTGGGTGAAGAATTGAAAGAAGTTGTATGAAGACGGACAACCCCAAGTTATCAGAATGATCTGAGAAATTAGAGTGAACTCAGCACAGGAAATAACATGCACATTTTAGGAAAGGTTTACATACAAATGCAGCATAAGTCCTGTAAACCACAGAGCCCCAAGTTAATGAGTTAATGTAATGCTCTGACTCCATCTGACTTAATGTGCTCTCAATTCATTAACATAGTTCTTCTGTCACATGATGTGTGCAGTCACTGTCTCAAAGTTTTCTCTCTATTCTTGAAGTTGTATGTGCTTTATTTCTACTTCCTCTATCTTGAAAGGAAACCAACCTTGTTTGCTGAGAGAGGTGGGCGGGGCCCAGGTGAGCGACACACCGTCGAACCATACACAGAGCGGCTGCTGCTGTTTGAGGTGGCACTAGAGATGCTGGACGTCGCGTTGAACTAAAAGAGGCAGAGCAAATGGGTTAGTGCTAAGAGAGTCAGATAACTCCAGACAGTGAATTTGTAATAAAGCAAGTGTTTATAGATTAAATGTAATACTATCGCACCTTTCGTGTTTTAATGGGGGTAGTAGTGCCTAGGAGTCTGCGCTTGATGGGGGTTCGTACGGCTGTTCCATACAGCATGTCCTCCTCGGTCTGTTTGCTCTTCTTTAGGTGCTACAAAGAGATTGTAACGTTTCAACACATTTCCCACAAGTTAAATTACAATTATAATACAGAAAGGCAGATTGTTTACCCTCTCTTGTTTTTCCTTCTCCTTCTCTATTTGGTGCAGCTCCCACTGTTCCTCCACATACTGCAGGAACTTCTGACCGTGTACTAAAAACTCACTGTCCTGTTCACTTTCCCATGTATCGATCTGGGCTTTTAATTTCTTTTCCAGCTAGAAAAGATTAAAAAACAAATCATTGTTCAGTTATCGTCAAATTGTAAGAAAGTTACAAAATATGTTACGGTTCAGAAAGGAACAGGCAGTCTTTATGTCTTACCTTGGGCAGGCTTTTATGCAGCTCAGACCTCTGTTTCTCCTCTTTCAGAAGATTTCCTCCTCTGTTAGTGAATCTGGTCGGATCTGTGGCTTTTTTCTGTGATTCAGAAAGACAATAACAACTCTATAACTAGGGATGCCAGCGATTATTCGATTTTTCGAATATTCGTTACAGTCTCCATAATCGAAAATTATTTTTTAAAATTCGATGCATTTATATATATTTTTATTATTATTTATGTTTTTCTTTTTTTCCTGGCTTAGTTTCAACCAAAATATAGACTAATGCTAATAATAGTAATAGTATTAATAATTGTAAATGGCCATTGGTCACACCACCAGTTTGTTTTACTGTAAACTTGGAGGAAGCCAGCAGCGCAGGCTGCGCAGAGTGCGGCGAATAATCGATTAATATTCGCCAGGGCTGTCCGATTTTCGAATTTGATCATGGTCAGTTTCTGGTATCCCTATCTATAACATGAAGCAATGTAACCAACAAACACAAATAACTTCAGGGGTTTAATGATTGTGGGTGCGTTTGTCTGTTCAAACTAACAATCTAAAATTGTTCTATTCTTAATGTTTTATTAAATACATTTAAAACCATAGGCTTACGCTATATATGAGTTAGACAAAATGTAAGTTAGTTATCGAGCTTAGAAGTTTATTACAATTTTGTAATACATTGAGAAGCACAACATTCATAAAGTCAAGTCTTCCCCTGGATCAGGGCTCGAGCTTAAGGACGTCCCGTCGTCCCGGGGCCGAAAAAAATAGTGTCAGGGAGGACAAAAAATAATTTTGGGACGAATTTGGGACGAGAGTTAAAATAAAAATACCCTGCTAACTCTACTACAAACGGCGATGAAAATGAAATCGACTGCACGTTGTGTGTAGCACACAATTATTAAACCTCCTTGTCAACATAAACACACAAAACATTTAGCAACCCGCGAAACACAAACACACACACTCACACAGACAGAAACACACACACACACACACACATACGTAAGCTGTGCCCATGTGCTGTCAGCCAGCCGCACAGCTGGCTGTGTCCGCAAATTCCTGGCCCGCAAATTCGCGGGTCTATCTACAGTAGGCTATGTACTGAGTGTGTGTATTTCGCGGGTTGAGTGATGTAAAATGACAATGGTATCCCGTGGAGAAATTCTGAAATGTTTTACCGTTACATCACAAAAACGCACAGCAGAACCAGACCCTGGATCGCCGGCCTCTTTATTTACTTACTCCACTTCATCCCCTATGGGTAATAAGGCTGAGATGAGAACCCTCCATCGTATTTAGTCCTTAGCAATATGCTGCGCCTCTCCCCATGTATGGATGGGTACCGAGCCCCGGTATTAAACGGGCTCCGCCCGGGCCGGAATTATTAAAGACAGTGGTAACGTTAAGCTTCGACGTTATCTGACTTTTTATCTGTACTGGAGACATTTAAAAAATATATGTCATATGTAGTATTGCTACATAAACATTATATCGCAGTTTTAGTTTATCCAACTCCGTTTCTAATATGCAATAAGACTACAACATGCGTCTATGATGTATTTTCGAGCTTTCCAATCCAGACGAGATCTCTCTCTCCCGTCTGTGTGCGAGGGGGCGGGGCAGTTTGTAAAGGTCTCCTGACTGTGTTACAGATTGTCCTCCTGGTTAGTGGTTACTCTGGGTTCTGTCTTCAGGACAGAGTGTCGGAATTTTTTTTGTTAATTGGATGGGACTTGATTTGATTCAATATTAGTAATTTTCTCGTTTGTGTGTTTGTTTAAATATATTTGGCCTTTGTCATGTGATTGACTGATTTACTCAAATAAAAAGGTTGATGAATTATCATCTAATGATTTGTATGATGTTTTATTTATGTTAAAG